ACTGGGGGCAGTGACACCCTTGAGCTCCCCAGGCCAGGAGGGGGTGGGTGGTGTCCCAGAGCCGCCAGCCTGGCCTCACCTGCCCCTCGTGTCTCCTCGATGCCCAACACTCCAACCCACCCCTCCATCCTCTCTGTGGTACCTCACTGCCCTGTCTAGGCCAGAGGGGCCCAGGTAGGGTTCAGGGCCCTTCCAGCTCTGTTCACCCCTTCATCCCTCCAACTCCCCATCCATCTGCCCCCACCTTTATCCGGCTCCACTAGGACACACCCTGCTTCAGCACATTAGGGTTTGTTTGTACTTTGACTCTTCTGGGAGGGTCTTTCCTCAGCACTGAAGCCCCAGAGCCTAGCACAGAAGGACAGTGGGAGGGAGGGAGGGAGGCAGGCAGGGAGGGAGGGAGGACCTGCCTCCACTCAGCCTCTTTCCCAGACCTCAGACCAGGTTTGAATATGGAAGGGCATGGGCCCTGCAGCCAGTGGGCCTGGTTCCCAATCAGGTCCTACATGTATTTGCCTCCTCCAGCCTCCAGTCCTTGCCTATAAAATCGGGGCCCCAGAGGGTCCAGCCACATGTGAGGTGAGAAAGGTGCCAATGCCCAGGCATTCTTCCCCCTCCCCTCTGTGCACCCTCTCTCTGCCCCACCCCGCCGCCATGGCAGCTGGACTCTGGGTGAGCAGGTGCCCCTGTTCAGCTCGAGGAACTTGGTTCACACCTGGCTCTCTCCTTGCTACGCAACCCTAACTGACCCCCACTCACAGCGTGGGTCTGTGTACCACCGGAGCCCCTGGCGGCTGCGGCATGTGGACCCTCAGTCACCCCCCTGCCAGGAGCCAAGCCCACGCTCGGTTAACACCAGCTGGTATTGCCAACTTACTCAGCCTGAGTGCTCTTAGTCTCTGGTCACCAGAACAAGTTACCGCAAACTTGGTGGCTGAAACACCATGGAGTTATCGTCTCCCTGTTTCTTTAGATCTGAGTGGGCGTCTGAGTGGGCTGGACCAAGTCGTCTGTTCCTGGGCACACAGGCTGAAGTCGGGGTCGGCTGGGCGGGCCTCGCCTGGAGCTGGGAGGGTGGAGGTGAG